CATCCCAACGAGACCCCAAGTCACTGCCCATGAACGGCCTTTTGGCTCCTGATCAAGCTGCTTAACGGCCATGATCCCAGAGATTCAAGAACAAATCTCGGAATCTGTCAGGTTTGGACAGAAATCCCTCCAGATTTAAGTTTTGGAATTTCGAAATCACGCAGCCACGCAATCACGCAACATCATATGTTATTCTTTACCAGCAATAGTAAACAAATTGTCTACTTTTGTTGCCTTTTCAGCAGATCTGAGTGTTGGGGTAAAATCCCAAATAATAATGGTGGGTCTGGTGTCAAAATATTGAATGTAACCTAGAAAGATTGCATTCATCTGGGGAACATAAAGTAACAAAATAGACTAATACCCAAGAATGGCCAAGATTAGTACCAGAAATTTTGCTCCATGGCTTGGAGATCAGCCACACATGCTAGGGGAAAAGGCAGCTCAGATAGAGAAGGGAGCACCAAATAAAGGGTGTTGGGAGGATCCTCCCAGGATGGGAGGAGCATGCTGAAAGTAGACTATAGACTAAACGTGATTGCCACTCAATGCCTCTTTTGCAAACCACAACACCCAAAAGGAGAGAGAGAACAAAGTGGAATGCCCTGCCACAGAGGCAGGGTGGGATGAGAGGTATGGGGGGTGGGAGGGACACTGGGATCCATGGTGGTGGGAAATGGGCACTGGTGGAGGGATGGGTATTTGATCATTGTATAATTGAAACCCAAGCACAAAATTTGTAAGTCTACAACTGTACCTCATGGTGTCTCACTAATAAAAATTTAAAAAATATATTGAATGTAATCAAAGTAGAGAGAGAGTAATGTGGAAATCATCTGCTCCACAGGTAGGGGGAGGGTGTGGGATGGGGGTATACTGGGGTTTTGGGTGGTGGATAATGGGCACTGGTGGAAGAATGAGTGTTTCATTGTATGACTGAGACTTAAACCTTCAGCTTTGTAACTGCCCTCACGGTGATTCAATAAATAAAATTATAAAAAATGAAAAAAAATAAGGTGGAGTTCATGCCCAATTCAATCAGTTAATCAGTGGCTGAATAAATAGCAGTACTCTTACATTAAAAAAAAAAACTCTAAGCACCTTTGTTTTCTTTTTCCTTTTTTTTTAAATAATGTAAAAGTACTGCTATTCAGCCATTGATTAAGCTGATTGAATTGGGCATGAACTCCACATTACTTTTTTAAAATTGTATCACCATAAGATAGAGTTATAAAGCTTTCATGTTTGAGACTCAGCCATGCAATGATGGAACACCCATCCCTCCATCAGTATACACTTTCCACTACATCTCAGTCCTTACCCTGCCTCTATGGCAGACAATTTCCCCAATACTCCCTCTAAGTTTGGGCATTATGTTTTGCTCAAAATTTTTCATCACCATTTAAGCCTACCTGCCAGGGGCAGACACTAGATAATTTATTTTCCATTACTCATTTTGAATATCATGAGAGCTCACATGGCTGTGGTTATAAATGGTTGGGTTCCAGAGACATCTCTGTATGGCATTAATCCATTTTGGGATTCAATTGGGAGTCTCTGGGCCAGGGTTGCTGATGTGCTAAGATGGCACCCAGAGGCAAATTGTGGGCATGACAGCCAGTCTACTGGACAGGCTGGGACCTGGGGAGGAGCAGCCCGGATCCTCTGCCACCATGTGGCCTAGAGATTTAGTCCTAGAACCTGCATATGGGGTGTGGGGGGCTTGCTTGTGGAAGTTCTTGGTCACTGGGATTCCATCTGGAGTAGGCAGGGAGACTGCACCTACTCCATCTGGAGTGCCTGGTGAAACTGGCTCTGTTTGGGGCCTGGAGAGATCTCCAGAGCTGTGGTGTCTTCCAGGACTTCCTGCTGTGTTTCTGGGCCAGGGTTGTTGGTGTGCTAAGATGACGCCTGGAGGCAAACTGTGGGCATGACAGCCAGTCTGCTGGGCAGGTGGGGACCCAGGGAGGGATAGGCCGGGTCTCTGCCACCATGCAGCCTGGAGATTCAGTCCTGGAACCTGCATACCTGGGCCTTGCTTGTGGAGGCTCTTGGTCACTGAGATTCCATCTGGAGTAGTCGGGGAGACTGCACCTGCTCCACCTGGGTGCCCCAGTGAAATTGACCCAGTATGGGGCCTGGAGAGATCTCCGATGCTGTGATGTCTTCTGGGACTCGCTGTTGTGTCTCTGGTCAGACCTGTTGAAGCTTTGTTTTCTAAGGAAGGACCTCAATACCCCTGGTCTTGGTTTAGGGTTTTAATGCCCACAGCAAGATCCTGTGTAGAACTAAAACAGTTTGGGAGTTCTCAGAGTCTGCCAAAAGAAATAATTAGAAGTTCACCAACTATGGGAATGCCGACTGGTCCAGCCTTTCTGGAAAACAATATGGACAGTCCTCCATAAACTAGAAATTGAGCTGCCATATTACCCCGCAATACCACTTCTGGGAATATATCCCAAGGATGCAAAAAAAAACATAGTAGAAATGACATCTGTACCTATATGTTCATTGCAGCACTGTTCACAATAGCCAAAATCTGGAAAGAACCCAAGTGCCCTAGAACAGATGACTGGCTAAAGAAACTTTGGTACATCTACACAATGAAATACTATGCAGCTATCACGAGAGATGAAGTCATAAACTTTGCTTATAAATGGATAGACATGGAGAGCATCACGCTAAGTGAAATGAGTCAGAAAGAGGGACAGACATAGAAGGACTTCACTCATTTGTGGAGTATCGAATAACATAACATGAGGCTAACACCTCATGTAGATACAAGGGCTAGGGACAGTAGATACAAGGGCTAGGAGGATTGCCCCATAGCTGGAAGCCTGCCTCATGAGCAGAGGGGGTAAAGCAGATGGAAGAGAGAAGGGATCACTAAGAAAATTATGTCTGGAGGAATCAGTTGGGATGAAAGATGTGTGCCGAAGTAGATAATGGACCAAACATGATGACCTACCTCTCAGTGTCTGTATTGCAAACCATAATGCCCAAAAGTAGAGAGAGAGTATGGGGAATACTGTCCTGCCATGGAGGCAGGGGGAGGGTGGGGAAGAGGGGTATGCTAGATAGATTGGTGGTGAATGTGCAGTGGTGGAGGAATGGGTGTTTGATTATTGTTGTGATTGCAGCTCAAACATGAAAGCTTGTAACTTTCTCACAGTGATTCAATAAAATTTTTAAAATAAATAAATAAAATTTAAAAAGCAATGTCTGAAAAAAAAAAAGAAGTTCACCAACTATACCCTACTCTATGTCAGACAGCCCAGAGACCAGACAAGACTAGATTTCATGAAGTTGAGACTAGCTAAGGTGATGCAAGCAGAGTCTGGATCTGAAGCAGGACACCATTACTTGATGAAGACTGTCATGAGGGACTCACCATGAGGAATGAACAGGGCGCAGAAGAAAAACCAGAAAAAGAAGTGCCATGAATACCCCAAAGAAAATGCACAAACTAGAAAATTCTGAGAAGGTCAGATAAAAACTTATAGTTGGTGTATAGTGGTGGACAGGTGATGGGAGGGTCTGGGCAAGAGGAAGTTAGCACATACCTGCTGTGGCACTAATGGAACACTGAGGGTCCAGTACTCCATCCAGGTGTGGTCATCACCACTGGATTCTATCTTAACCATGGATAGAACACCATATTAGATCTGACTCAGAAACTGGAATCCTGGCACAAGAGGACAGTGACAAGGGCATGCAGATGTCACTAGATTCATCATTCAGGGTAATAATAAATTTAGCACCTGACATGTGCCTGTATGACCGTAGAGGACTGAATAATTGAGCTGTAAACCATACTTATAACAAAGTTTCTGAGAGTTTCCAGCCATTTGGAAAGTCAGGCCTTTCTTTATACCTGACAGACATAAGGAAATTTCGTTTTACAATTAGCTTACTACCTCTTCCTACATTCTACGCTCTTGAGGCTTTTTGACTCTCTTTTATCCAGGACTGGCTTTCTGGCATATGGGGGCTGAGTAGTCAGCCTCTCGGGGTCCTGCTCTCAGAGCCCAGTGTCCTTGGCCTAATGCTGTCACCTCCTTGAAATCGTGAATAAAATTTCAACCTGGGCCCCACACATTCACTGTACAGTGAGGCTTACAAATTACAGAGAGGCCCTTATTGTCCTGGTATGGTGGGGACAGTCTGCTATCGACTACTTTGCTGTTCCTGCTATTTCAGTATCCAGTGTCTTTTCTTGGAGGTTAAAACAGGATGTTGTGGAGACCAAGTAACACTAGGGATAGGGGTAGCAGTACTTTATTTTTTTAACCTTTTGAAGCTGTTTATTTTTGCTAGCATATTGCTTTTGCAAATGGTAGCAGTACTTTAAAGCATTTCCCAGCACACCACTGGACAGGGTAGACTGGATAAGTATAGTTATCAAAATCACCCACATTAGCCCTAGGACTCTGGGCTATTTTATTATTTGGGGGGAGGAGAGAAGCGGGGAATTTGTTTTTGTTTGAAGGGCTACACCCTCCGGTGCTCAGAGTTTACTCCTGGCTCTGTGCTCAGGGGTCATTCCTGGGGCCTCAGAGGACCATACGGGACGCTGGGGATGGAACCTGGGTCAGCCATGTGCAAGGCTTACCCACTGGCATACCTCAGCCTCATCCCCCGTAGGTTTTGAGAAATTTGGCTGGGAAAGAAAGCCTTTGTTTATAGTGTGTGCTATTTATCTGTGGCAACGGGTAAAGACAAAGCCTTTTTGCCTTGGCATTATTTTAAATCCTGAATCCCGACCTCCCCGGACAGGAGGGTGTAAGAAGACGGCCTGAATGAAGGTGCACATCGCTCCATCAAAGCCCTAGAAATCCGGGAACTCTGTCCCGGCCTGCGCCAGCTCCCCCGCCCCCAGCCCCTCCCTGCGCGCCTGCCCGGGGAGCCCGGGAGCTCCCCCAGGACCCGGGGCGCGGTGGGCTGCGCGATCCGCCCCTTGCGCGCGGCTCGGACTCGGCTCTGCGTGGCGTGGCGGTGGACGCTGCGGGCAGTCAGGGCGGCGCGCTGCCATGGAGCCCTCCTGGCTGGAGACTCGCTGGACGCGGTCCTTCTACCTGGCCTTCGTGTTCTGCCTGGCCCTGGGGCTGCTGCAGGCCATCAAGCTCTACCTACGGAGGCAGAGATTGCTGCGCGACCTGAGCCCCTTCCCCGCGCCCCCCGCTCACTGGTTCTACGGCCACCAGAAGGTAGAGGAAGGGAGGATGCTGGCGATTGCGGGGGAGCGGGGCTGCTTCCTTCCCTTCCCCCATCCCTCGGTCCCGCCTGGCCCCGGGGTCGCAGCATCTTGTCGCTGCCCTCGGCCTCTTCCCTCACCGCGCGCAGCGGAAAGGAGGCTCCCTGCAGTCATCCAGAGGATGCTGGGGGGCCGGGAGGAGCTTCTAAAACTCCGAATGCAGAACAGCAAAGCTGGGAGAACTAGGGTGTGTCTCAGAGCTTCGCTCATTTCTTGCATGTTTTTTGTATCCATTTCAAAAGGCCTCCCTCGTGAATGGCGGGAAACAAGAGTATGATGTCCTGTATAACACGCATTAATTGCAGAAGACATGCAAAAAATAGACTCAATATTTCCACCACCCCCACTCTACGTCATCTCCCCTGCCCCGCTCTCTGCCCTTTTATATTGTTTAATTAAAGCCTTACTTGTAAAATATTGCCACACTGCATTTCTAATTGAATCGTTTCGTTTTGCTCTTTCGGCGTTTGGGCCGCACCCTAAAAGGCGGGGAAGCCACACCCGCCTTGGGGCTTTCGCCTACCCTTGGGCAGGTTGTCCTGCCCTTGTTAGTGTTAAATCCACCCTGTAAGCGTCATATTTAGCAGGATGAATAATCACGCCATTTTTTTCTGTGCCAATATAATTGTATTTGTACCTTTAGTTAAATAGGAAAGTTTTACATTATCTTGTTTGTGTAAATGTCATCACTTACCTATGAGGTTCATTTTGTTCCTTTTCTCAGAGAGCTTTGGCCCCTCTCCAAGTATTAACTTTTTCCTTTTCTCATATGCTTGTTTTTCTGTATCTGCCACTTCCCCCTCCAAATACTCCAATAAGCTTGCCAAACACATCTCAATAATATTTGCAAATATTGAAGTGTACCGATATTTGTCCATCTGCTTTTCTGTAGGTATTTCTCCTTTTCCAATCTGAATTGTTTGCTCTCTAGATATGCTTGGTACACCGAATCATTGCTCCTTTTAAAATTTTTTTTTATTGAATCACCATGAAATACAGTTACAAAGTTGTTCATGATTGAGTTTCAGTCATAGAATGTTCCAGTGTCCATCCCTTTACCAGTGTACATTACATCGAAGTTCTCAGTCTCCCCCCCACTAACATCCCCATGCCCCACCCATGCCCCAATGGTAGGCCTCTCTCTCTCTCTCTCTCTCTCTCTCTTTCTCCCTGTCTATCTATCATCTATCTATCTCTCCCCTTCTGGGCATTATGGTTTGCAGTACAGGTACTGAGGAGTTATCATGCATATCCCTTTACTTCCTTTCAGCACTCTCAGAAGTTTTATTGTTCTGTATCATACATATTTCCTATTTCCTGGACTTGTCTTTTCTCTACTTTTATTTTTTGAGGGGTTATGTTTGGGGGCATACCTGGTAGTCCTCAGGGCTTCCTCCTGACTTTGTGCTCAGGGATCACTCCTGACAGTGCTCAGAAATCTATGTAGGGTTCTGGGGATCGAACCTGACTCTGTTGCATGCAAGACAAGTGCTCTAATCCCTGTACCATCTCTCCAGTCCCATTCTGTTTTCCTTTCTTCCTCATTCTCTTTTGATTTACAAAGTTGTTCATTATACAGTTGTTTCAAGCATTTAGTGTTCCAACAACACCAATGTGATCTTCCCTTCACCAATATCCCCAGATCCCTCCCAATCGCAGCCCGCCCCTTTGGCACATAACAAATTTACTTCGTATTACTTATTCCAACAAATCTTTAAGAACTGACAAGTAAAATAATCCGAAAATAAAATCAGTAGGGGCAATAGTGATGACTATACTATTTTGATCTGTGTAAATAAGAAAATTAAAACCATTTAATACAATATAAAAATACCTATTCTCATTTACAGATACACATTTTGGACTCTAGACTCTAAAGTATATTACATTTAATTTTATTTTACACTTGATATTATTATGGTAATAATCATGTCTCACCTGATATTAATATCACTTTTAAAGCAGTTCTGTGTTAATATATTTTGGAGTTTACATGGATATGCAAGGCCTATATATGTAAATTTTCCCTTTATACTTTATATAAACACTGTGGTTTACAAAGTTGCTCATGTTGATTTGTTATAGGCATTCAGTATTCCAACACCAATCCCATCACCATTACACCTTCCCTCCACCATTGTCTCCAATTTTCCTGACCACCGCTTACCTGCCCCTCAATAATTTAATTTATATTGCTTGTTATCAACAACTTGTTAACAGAATGATCAAAAAATGTTTTCTTAGAAGAAAGTTAGTGAAAATTGTTGCATCTCGCCGTGGACCCATTAAGTCCTTTTGTAAGAAATTACTAACAAGTTGCTACAGTTAAGTCTTCTATGTTTATATGTTGTTAATCAAGATTGGTTACCTTCTACTTTATATCCCATTCAATCTGGTATCCTACTACTGGTTTGTCAGTGTTGTAGAGTTTGAGGAAGCTTGAGGAAGCTCCAGGAAGTGCATAATTTTTAATGGGGTGGTAAAAATGGAGGTAAATTTTTGAGTGGGTGGCAGCTTTGGGGTGTATGTGTGACTGCTGGGGCTTACGAAAGTACAGGGAGATGGGGGTGGGTAGCCGATCCCAACTCAGTGAAAACCTGGAGATTTCAGTCACAAAACTTGCATACCTGAACTTTTCAGCAGATTAATTTCTAAGTGAGGCTTGTTCTAAGGCAGTGGGGTCTGTCCGGGGCCATGGTGGTGATTGTGGTGTTGGACTTCTTGGCTCTTAGGGTTTTCTTTGGACAAGTACTTCACTTTATCATTTTTTTATGGGTGACTTCCTGAAAATGAATAAATAGATGTCAGGTGAATTTTTTGAGTTCTCAAATGACTGCAAATGCATATATTGTAATTTCAGACTAGAATGATAGTTTAGCTGGAAATTAAATTATAACTATGGACATTTTTTTAAGATATTCATTGTTCTATTTTCTTCCAGATTTCAGAATGACTATTTAAAATTCTGATACCTTGCTGAGCCTTTTTTCTTTTTGAGTAGAGGCCCTGGTATTGGTGCTCAGCAGTTCCAGAAAACCTTTCTGACAGTTTTGAGCAATCTGGTCAGGAGTTCAATGCAGGGACAGTAGAGGCAGTGCTGCTTGGGGACCTCTAGGGTCATACCTAGAAGTATCTGGGAGACCATGTGGTGCAGAGGATCGAATTGGATTCTGCTGGCATGAAAAACATGCACCTTAATCTCAATACTGTCTCTCTAGCCTCTACCTTGATTTTCCCCATTTTTAAAATTGTGGTAAAATACACACAAACTTTAATATATTAACTATTTTTCAAGTGTATAGCTAAGGGATATTACATTTGCATTTTGTAACCACAGCATCCTCATCACCATCCATCCCTATAACTCTACCCATCTTGTAAAACTCACACTTAATATTGATTGGCTTATTCCACTTAGCATAATATCCTCAAGGTTAACTTATGTTGTAGCATGTATCAGAATTCCCTTCCTTTAAAAAAAATAGTCCATTGTATGCTCATTCCATATTTTATTTATCCATTTTACTATCAATGGACACTTAGATTGCTTCTACATTTTAGCTGTCAATAATGCTACTACATGAATAAAAGTGCACAAACATTTCTTTGAAACTTTCTTTCAATTCCTTTTTTTTTCAATTCTTTTGGATATACCCAGAAATAGAATTGTAGTATCATATGAAAATTCCATTTTTTTTAGGAAATGCCATGTTGTTCTTTGCTATGCCATTTACAATCCCATCAGAAGTGCATAATGATTCTATTTTCTCCATATCCTTGCTAACACTTGTTATTTTCTGCTTTTCTTTATTATTATTATTATTATTACCCATTCTTAGTGGCTTTTCCCTCCAGTAATCATTAATGGTGAAAATCTTGTCATGTGCTCAGTGTAATTTGTAAGTCATCTTTGGAGAAATGTCTATTCTCAATTTTCAGTTGGATTGTTGGGTTTTGATTCGTGAGTTTTAGTTCCCTTTATATTCTACATGTTATCCCCTATTAGATATATAATTTGAGAATATTTTCTTCTACACTGTGACTCTCTTTACTCTGTTAAAAACTATATTTTCACACATATTTTTAAAATTTCTTAAGGACCAATTTGCTTATTTTTCTTTTTCCTATACCTTTACCTGGCATATCTAAGACATTGTTGCCAGATCTAATGGCATTAAGCTTTTCTTCTCTGTTATTTTTCTAAGAGTCTTAGTTTTAGGTCCTTCTCTTGGGTCTTTGATGTATTTTGAGTGGATTCTCATAATGGTGTCAGGTAAGGATTCAGCTTCTTTCTGTCATTTATAGACAACCAGATTTCTCATCACAATGTGTTGAAGTCTGACCTTTTTACATGGAATGATCTTGGATCTTATAAAGACATCATTAGATCATAACTTAAAGAGTTTATTCTGGGCTTTTTATTCTATTCTTTTTATTTTTATTTTTGTCACACCCAGCGATGCACAGAGGTTAATCCGGGCTCTGCACTTAGGAATTACTCCTAATAGTGCTCAGAGGACCATATGGGATGCTGGGAATAGAATCCAGGTTGGCTGTGTGCAAGGCAAATGCCCTACCTGCTGTGCTATTACTCAAGCCCCCTTCTTTTCCTTTTTTAAAAAATATTGAATCATAATGAGATAAACAGTTACAAAGTGGTTCATGATTGTGTTTAAGTCATATAATGTTTCAACACTCATCTCTTCACCACTGTACATTTCCCACTACCCATGTCCCCAGTTTCTCTCCCATTCCCCATCCCCCACCTGCCTCTGTGGCAGTCAACTTTCTTCCTTCCTACTTTGTCTCTGTTTCTTCTCTCTCTCTCTCTCTTTTCTTTTTCTTAACATGAATCCCTTTATGTTAGAGTCATGCTTATTTGATCATTGCAGATAGTAAGTTTTGTAATCAGAAAATGTGACTCTTTCAGCTTTGTTCTCTAAGTGAAGGTTA